AAATAATAATTTTATTGCTCAAATGTATCATGATCGGGATACATTTGATTTTAGTCAAGGCCATGTGACCAAGCCTAGCCTGAGCGGGGTACAATAAATAATAATTTTATTGCTCAAATGTATCATGATCGAGATACATTTGATTTTAGTCAAGGCCATGTGACCAAGAATAAACCAATGGCAGTCGTTGTTTAGTTGAGAGAAAGTTTAGGAATATAACAAATGGTCTTATTCCCGATCCATACCTGAGAGTTGGGAAAGCCAGTCAGGCATGGACTATTTTCATGGCAGATTAAATATGCCATGAATATCCTAAGCACTTGACTGGGTTAAATTTTAACAACAACATTGTGTGTTTATTTATTTATTTATTTATTTATTAAATTTATTTATTTAACATAATTCAACATACAATGTAACATAACAATGAACTTTATAATAACAGGGCAAAAAAAGGAGGCAAAACAGTAAAATAAAAAGACAGCGAAATACAAAAGTTCAACAGTTTAACAACAACAACTGAAAACGAGAAAATATCCACTTTTGTCCACAGTGATTTTCATAATATCAGCGTTTAGGGAAGGCTTAAACAATATCATTATGTCTTTACTGTGTTTGGAACCATGCGCAAACAGGATTTCACCACCCCATTCTGCTCGCCACACATTCTCTAAGCTAGGATTGCTATAGGTTTCTTGTAAAAACAATTATATAGAATCTATTCAGATAGAGCCACCGAAGGAGCTTTCTCCATTAATGCACAAATAATGCATAAATCACTAAGTCTTGTAGTGAGTTAGTTATTTATGCATTATTTGTTTGTTATGTCATTCCCCATTTATGCCTAAGATTATTTATTTTCAGTGTCTGCTACCAATTACAAATCTACAGATCAGCTTCTGTTTTGTTATGTTAGCTCATTTTTATTTCAATACAATTTCTTTTCCATGCCTTGAGTAGCATTTCTTTGCTAATTTGCGGGGCAATTGTATTTAGGTTTAAAGTTTCTGTTTGTTTGAATTTAAAATGAAAAAATAGCATCAGTTAATTGGCGACTACTGTTTTTATCGTGCATTTTAAAAATGTACCATCAACACAGCGGTCTCCAACTGGTTTGATTTAACAGTCACATTGTGGATTTAACCAGCATCAATAAGTACTACATGATGCTATTTATACCCATGAGTGTAAAATAATATTCATGAGTATAAGAATTGTGCAGATGAAGACAGCCTTGGACCAGGACCAGGGACGAGAACCAGGACCAGAAGGGCCACTGGGTGATAATGAAGAGAAAGGTGCGAAGATCCAGCCTGGACCTTCGGGTGATCAAGGGCCTCCAGGCGATGATGGAGACCAGGGTGCTCAAGGTGAGTGTGCAGACTTGGGGTGTGTTTGGGGGGGGGGCTTGTGGGGTACTCCGCCGCATGGTCCAGGTCGTACACCTTCCATGGACGAATCGTACTCCTTTCACCTACCTACTTAAATCAGAACTTTGCATCCCTTTAAATTACTGCAAATGCACTGTCTTTTATAATTTGAATAGATCACAAAACCAGAAGGTTTCCTTGACTTCATCGCAGCTCATTTGTTAGCCCTTTTAGACCTTTTACAGATCAATATGACAAATTTATTTCCCTATTTCAAACTTAAGGCTAAACAGGTTCTTGTATAGAGGGGGTCTAAGTGGCAAATTTTAGCTTAACAGTTTCTTAGTTGCCGGTTTTACTGTAATGCTCTTACATCTGTGAGGTGCTCATCTTCTGGTATTTTGTTGCAGGACCCAAAGGTGAACCTGGACAAGCAGCAACTGGGGTGAAAGGGGAGAAGGGAGACTGGGGTGCAGATGGGGATGTTGGAGACAGAGATCCCCAGGGAGACAAAGGAGAGAGAAGAGTGGATGTTTCACCGGGACGTCCTGGAGATCCCAGTCCCTCTGTTGAAAGAGGTAAGTTTTTATATCACTAGAGACTTCCTTCTCTAGTGATCTTGACTCCGGGGACTAGATAAACTCCAAATCTCCTTCATTTTTAATAACTCCGAAAGTTCTCCACTAGCTCCTTACAGTGTGATAGACTCCTTACAACTAGGTAAACCTGCTATAAGAAAAACTATTCTAATGCATGCCTTCTGACATAAAGGAAATAAAACTGAATAAAGCTTTGTATACCTTACCCTGCGAACTGCAGACATATTTCCGTCATTGTTAGAGGGAGAGAAGCAATGACTGAAATACATCTGTGGTTTGCAGGCTATGTATGCCTAGCCAAAAAATGGATGTATGTTGATCATGCAAGAAAATAAAACAATGTTACAATTAACAAAGAACAAGCAGTCCTTGAATATAACTAAATTTCATTGCTTACGGCTCACTTTTTACGGATAATATGACAAAGGTGATGTTACACAGAACGATTTGCAACAACGATTTTTAGTGCAACGCAGCTTTGCAACATTATTTCAACATTGTTTCGAATGGTTGCAACATTGTACCAACATTTCCAGGCTGTGTTGTGCTAAAAATTTGTTGTTGCAAATTGTTCCAAAACGTACATAACCATAATTATTATTGTCACAATACTTTTCTTATAGAACTGATCCCTGCGAAGTGTGCAGAAGACAGCAATGAGACACATGGAGAGGCTCCAAGTAACAAAGGTAACGTCATCATTTCATAGCTGCGACAACTCTGATTTCATTGTAACCCTGATGTAATAAAGCTGTGGTGGAAATTTTTCCATATCTTTGTTAGTGGCGATGTAGTTTTTGTTCAAACTTGGGAAGTATTGACCCTGAAAAACCTTATCGAGCCACCTTAAATGATATCATCAAGCTCATTAGCCTCTTGGTGTGCCTGCTATGGTTAACTGTAACTATGGCCTATTAACACATTTTAATGTGTGCATTATAGTCTTGTTGTTGTACTGTATTGTACTCATATGAGCCAGTCTGTGCGTCTTTTGCTATAAATTCCTCCATCATTTTACCAGCTAACATCATAATAGTCATCTTCTGAATTCAAAATATCCAAAAGTAATTTGCGGACAGTTTCTTTCAGTTTATTCTTTAAGGGAGATGTTGGATGTGACAGGGTATCTCATTCCCCAGCTTAATTAGCCTCAAAGAAAGAGAAAGATTGTGTCTGTTCCAGAAAGAGAATAAACCTGAAAGTCTGTGTTCAGTTCAAATTACATTATTATCCTAGAACAGTTAAGGGTTTCCTGTTAAGGTATGCATTGTTTTGGAATGGGTGTTTTGAAAGATATTGAGCCACCAAAACATGTTTCTTGAAGTGAAGAATTAATTGTGAGATTTTGATGACGGTAAAATAATCCTAATTGATGAGACTTATTTTGTGTCAAATAGGTGATGCTGGCTTGAAAGAAGAGGCAGGAGAACTAGGACTCCAAGGCCTGCAGGGCCAAAAGGTTGAACCTGGAACAACAGGCACTGATGGTCCACCTGGTCCCACCAGCGAAGCAGGTTTAATAGGAGAACCAGGACCAGAAGGGCCACTGGGTGATAATGAAGAGAAAGGTGCGAAGATCCAGCCTGGACCTTCGGGTGATCAAGGGCCTCCAGGCGATGATGGAGACCAGGGTGCTGAAGGTGAGTGTGCAGACTTGGGGTGTGTTTGGGGGGGGGGCTTGTGGGGTACTCCGCCGCATGGTCCAGGTCGTACACCTTCCATGGACGAATCGTACTCCTTTCACCTACCTACTTAAATCAGAACTTTGCATCCCTTTAAATTACTGCAAATGCACTGTCTTTTATAATTTGAATAGATCACAAAACCAGAAGGTTTCCCTGACTTCTAAACAGTTCATTTGTTAGCCCTTTTAGGCCTTTTACAGATCAATATGACAAATTTATTTCCCTATTTCAAACTTAAGGCTAAACAGGTTCTCTATAGAGGGGGTCTAAGTGGCAAATTTTAGCCTAACTGGAGCTTAGTCATGGGTTTTTGCTCTAATGCTCTTACATCTGTGAGGTGCTCATCATCTGGTATTTGTTGCAGGACCCAAAGATGAGCCTAGACAAGCAGCAACTGGGGTAAAAGGTGAAAAGGGAGACCAGGCTGCAGATGGGGATGTTGGAGACAGAGATCCCCTGGGAGACAAAGTAGAGAAAGGAGTGGACGGTTCAGCGGAAAGTCCTGGAGATCCCAGTCCCTCTCTTGAAAGAGGTAAGTTTTTATATTATCACTAGAGACTTCCTTCTCTAGTGATCTTGACTCCAGGGGCTACTGAGAAGATGTGCTTTAACAAAAACTATTCTAATGCATGACTTCTGACTTAAAGGAATTATATCTGAATAGAGCTTTCTGTACCTTAGCCTGTGAACGAAAGACATATTTCCAGTGGTCACTTCTCTTCCTTGGAGGGAGAAAAGCGATGACCGGCAATACTGTAGGTCTGCTGTTCACAGGCTATGTATGCCTAGCTAAAAAACAGATGGATGTTGATCATATGCAATAAAATAGAACAAAATGTTACAATATTATTAAGAAAGAATAATTAGGTAAGTTATAACTAAATGGTGTTGTTTATGGGTCATTGTTTATGGATAATGCACTGACAAAGGTGATGTTACACCGAATGATTTGCAATGACAATTTTTAGGACAATGCAGTGACAAGACAGTGTTGAAACATTATTTCAGCATTGTTTTGAATGGTTGCAACATTGTGCCAACATTTCCAGGCTCTGTTGTGCTAAAAGTTGTCATTAGGAATCGTTCCAAAACATTACCTTCTACTAGTATCTGTATTTTCACAACTGCTCTTCTTATATTACTCACCCTTACGAAGTTTGAAGAAGACAGCAATCAGATAGAAGGAGCAGGCTGAAAGCTAAAAAGATTACCTATTCACTTCCAGCCTCTCCTTGTGTCTGATATTTTGTTGCTTATCCAATGTCATCGTAACCCTGATCATATCAAATTTTCTTCTTTATCTAATACAGCTGTGTGGTTGTAATTTTTCCAAATCTTTGTTAGTGGCAGCGTAGTTTGTCTAGTTTATGCTCAAACTTGGGAGCTCTCAGTCAGCCAATTTTTGTACAAAGTTTAAGCCACTGATTGTAGTTGTAAAGCTGAATGATACTTTAAAATAACAATGAGAGTTTATGTCATAATTAATGCCTTAAACCATTAAATTTACAATGCTTTAGAACTCATCCCTGCAAAGTGTGCAGAAGACAGCAATGAGACACAAGGACAGGCTCAAATGAGCAAAGGTAGTGTCGTCATTTTTGTGCTATGTCAACTGCAAATTAAGTCATTGTAGCCTTAATACAGCTGTGGTGGAAGTCTTTTCAAATCTTTGTTAATGGTGACATAGCTTTAAGCTCAAATATTAACCTTGGAAAACCCTTTCGAGCCGCCTTAAATGAAATCATCAATCGCTGTGGCCTCTTCTTGTGCCTGGTTTTATTATGGTTGTCTTTAACTATGGCCTCGCACATTTTGTTTTAGTTTTACAAGCTTTTCTGGACACAGGCCTGCCCAGAGGGAATAGGCAGGAACGGGACTCACAGGTCCCATGCAACGTGCCATCCCTACCCAATCCCACAACCCGTTATGGTTGGCCACACCACCGGGGTCTACGTCCCCTACTCTTTTCGAACAGTAGTGTGGGTTCTTTTACGTCCCACAACAACAGATCAGTGAAAGTGCTTTGAGATGGGACCTACGGTTTTTCATCCTTATCCGAGAAGACTAGAAAGTCTAACCATTTGCAGATGTCATCACAAAGGCAGCGTTGGTCCGGCTGGGGTTTGAACCCGGCGACCGGCGCTCTCCCAACTAAGCTAACCAGGCGGCGGTTGTTAATGTTAATGTTAATGTGTGCACTATAGCCTTGTTGTTGTACTGTATTATACTCATGTGAGCCCGCCTGCTTGTCTTTTGCTGTAAATTCATCCATCATTTTACTGGCTAACATCAGGCACGGATCTAAAATAAACACTCACCGATTTCCTTTAAAACAAGCACCGAAAGCGCAACCTCTTAGCGCCGTCCAGTCCGCTCCTCGGAAAATTTTTTGGAAATTTTAATTCCTTAAAGTCTCTGGGTTTTTGAGTCATTCAAACAGAATATTTACTGACTGTTGAAACCATTTTCCAGATTTTAACTTGAAAAGTTTTTCTATGATTAAAATGTATTCATTTTGAAAAATCTAATTGATTTCCATTAAACGGGTGCGTGGAATTTGAAACAGGTGTGGATCCAGCATTTGAGATCTTGAGTTGAACTGTGCATTAAGGATATCGAACATTGATGATGATAAACAAGTTGAAATTGAATGACAATGAAACTGAACTGTTGGTTCTCAATGCTTGCCATTGGCCGACGCCCACACTCAATTCTATTTATGCTGGAACTGATCATATCACTGCATCAACATCAGCAAGAAATATCGGTGTCTGGTTCGACAATTTGGTGTCTATGGACAAACTGATTGCTGCCTTTTGCAAATGTGCTTTTTAGTATCTAAACAACATAGCCAAAATAAGGAAATTTATATCTTTTCAGCACTGCAAGACCCTTAATTCATACATTTATTACTTCAAAGCTAGATTATGGTAATTCAGTTTTATCCGGGCTTTTCAAGAATCAGACTCTGAGGCTACAGTTTGTTCAGAACAGTGCTGCACGTCTCCTCAAGGGAACTACCAAGCATGATAACATAACGCCCGTACTGAGACAGTTACACTGGTTGCCAGTGGCTGAGATAAGAAATTTTAATTTCTTTTGTTTTTAGCCAAAGCTATTGACCCAGTATGTAGTGAGCCAACAGCAGAAATTAGGAATCAGAAATCAATAATGGTAAGTAGATTGAGATACATAAGTTGAGCGATATGGTGCAATATTAATATGTTAGGACAATGAAAAATATGATATAAGAAAACTGTAGGCCTGTAAAAAAAAAAAGGAATAGATGCACCAGGTAGTCCAAACCTTTTCTTAAGCTCCTGGCTCCTAGTACCCTGCGAGTAGAGACTACATTTTCGCGGTATGAGCTGGTGTTCGCACGTCAGCTCATACCGCGAAAATGTAGCCTCTGCTCGCAGGGTAGGTTCCTAGCCTATTTTCAAGTGGAAATGTCTTATTTTTAGCTGTGACTGCTGGTGAAGCTCCTCTGTTGGTCTTCCCTGCCTTTTTTTCTTCCAAAATACTAGGTGTAGTTGTATTTATCATCAGCCTGCAAATATCTTAGAGATCAACGCTGTAATCTCAAGGTGTCTGGCAAATTATACAGAGTTGAATCAGCAGGGTCCAACTTAACTCTTGCTTTCCATTTTAGAGAATACATGACCAAAACGCGTTGCAGTTCATTCTATCAATTTAGCAACTAGATTGGGAGCAATTTTTTACTCAATGTCTTAAAAATTGGTTGGGTTAGTATGTGCATTAAACACACGAGCCCCTAAAATAGAGGGTGCTACTGTGTCGCCAATTGTTACACTTGCGTGTTTCACTTACCAATCTAAGTGAAAAACGGGTTACCTGGGGTTTACCTATTGGTTAAAATAATGTGATTGCAAATAATGTAAGCTTGTTTTATTTCGATTTTTCACAGAGAACGAGACGACTGTGGTCAACTCTTAAATCAAGACTAAAACGAGGAAATAAGGAAACTGGCAAAGCAAGAAATAAGCCTTCCTTCATCAAGCGGTGGTTTCCCTGTTTCTGTGGCAGCAAAACAAACTCCGAGTAATTTTAAGGTAATAACTCCACGTTCTCATTAATTTTTACTTTAAGTGGAAGCAAAAATCTAGAGGGCGTCGCTTAGGGAGAATCCAAAACTAGTCCATGATCTTGATAAACCCGTCTTCAATTTGCAGTTTTTTCACATGGTGTGCCATTTGTCTAGTATTTTGTGATTCCAACTTTAGAGTTTATGAACAAAATCCTATGATTTGACCATTCAAATGAAACCTCCTCAGTAGTACTTTGACATGGTACTATTTTCATAGTATCCAGTTCTAACTTTTGAGTCTGTGAAGGAAATCCCATGTGGTGACCATTCAAATGAAAGTTACTAAGCAGTACTTTCACGTGGTACTATTTATTAAGTAGGTAGTTCTAACTGTTGGGTCTGTGGATGAACTCACTCCTAAAGTGTAACCATTTTAAGGAAACTTTTTAAGCAGTACTTTCACCCTTTATTAATTTGTAAGAATTTTAAGTTCTGATTTACGAGTCGGTGCGAAAATCCTATGGTGTGACCAGCTAAATAACTTTTGTCTTTGGAGGTGAAATTGCTGGAGCATTTTGTCCCTCATGGTAGAGGAATGCAGTGATTAGCATGATTAGCCAGCTGGGTAGCTGCTCTTAGCTGGAGTGGTGTTAAAAATAGAGAGGAGTCCCAAGATCTTATTTCTCTAGCTTTGTTTGTTACTTCTGGGATTATTGATATTTTCAGATCCATGTTATTATCGCCAGGGTGTCTGTGAAAACTAGCAACTAAAAATATTTAGCACTAAGTAAGCTTCATGTTCCATTCTCGCAGGATAATTTTGAACTTAGTGACAGGTAAATTTACGCTTGTCACTCGACTCACTGGAGAGGCTGGACCTTAAGGCTGTCTAGGAAGGCAAGGATCAGGTTCCCCTTTTTTTCAAGCTATGAACTAGGAGCTCGTGCCATGAACCCTGTTTTCAGGTAAAGAAATTCAGCAAGGGAGCTCAAGCCACCTACTCGGGTCCCAACCACAAAACTGATGGCAGCGACAATGTCACTTAATAATTGATTCGCGCTGTTTCCAACTTCATCACTATCATTTCACCACCCAAAATTTGTCAAATGTTGATTGATTATTTTTTTTTGGAGTAGAATTCTTGAGGACTGTATCCAAGTTCGAAAAAAGAAAGAGAAAATTGTTGCCTTGTGACCTCATCGTTCAAAAACGTAAAATTGAGAAGTTTCGTGTCGTAGTTGTGCAATGATAGCAACAAAATGAACCAAAAAGTACGACGAGGTACGTGCAAAGTTTTTGTTTTGTTCTCTTAATTTAACCTATTGCTTTCTTTCTTCTAGTTGCTTGCCCATACGAATTGGTGCGGACAGTTTTTATCTGTTTATTTTCCAATGAGAAACTGTCAACTTGAGTGAGAGGTTTGCTGTTTGCCGTACATGTGAGTCTTAAGGCTTAGTTCATGGGTCACGTACTTCTTCCTTGCCGAGCTTCAGAAGCTTGACAAAAGGACAAGTTCAATTCAGATGTCAAAATGAAGCTGAATTGTGTATGTAGTAACAAAGTCAGAAATAATATATGAAACATATTTCCGAAAATACAGTTCCAAAATTTACGAATTTAGAACTGGACAAAGGATACTTTATGATGTTTAAGGTGACTCGACCCAGTTTTTTTGGGGGGGTACCATTCTACTTTGAAGCTCTCTGGTATCCCCACCTTTACTTTTATCGTAAGTCTAACACATAGAATGGATAACATATAGATCAATCTACAATATAACATAAAATTTTTGGCGATCGGAGTAAATGTCACGTGGTTATAATGCCACGCCCCTTTGAGGTCTGAGTCGAAAATCTGCTGTTGCCGGCATTTTTTCGTGAAAATCTCTCGGCTACACATAGTGCGCATTAGTGCCTTGCGCTGAACAGAGTTTCACCAAAATCGCAAAGACCCAATTCGAGAAATTCAGCGGTTTCCAAATTTAGGTCATAATTTATGCGAAAATGATAAGCAAACTTTACACGGATTATATCTAATAAACTATGAGATTCATCTCTTTATTTTGGGCATCGTTATAACAGATGGGTCCTTGCAAGTCAGCAAAACGCTTTAGGGCCTTGTAAATGCGCGCGATTTCGAGCAAAGCAAACATATAGAAATTATAGTTTTCGCTATTTGTTGACGTTTGTCAGCGTTTAAGAGTCCTTCTCACGAAAAAAGCATTTTCTTAAAAATTCGTAGTTTTTTTTCCTTCAAATTTTTTCAGGGCCACAATT